TCTGTCTGTTTTGTTTTTTTGAGACAGGATTTCTCTGTGTAACAGTCCTGACCAGGCTGGCCTTGAACTCACTGAGATCTGACTGCCTCTCCCTCCCAAGTGCTAGGACTAAAGGTGATACCACTGCCCAGCAATGACTCTTGTTTTTCAATCTATAATCTAAGAATTATAGATTTGGTTTTGTTGGGGAAAATACTCTGTCTTCTGAAATAGACTTCATTAATTTTCACAAGACTTTTCTTAGGCCTACACAGTCTAAAGCTCTCAATCCACGCCCCCCCTTGTGGTGTGCAGAGAATGTGATGTGTAAGGAGATGCTATTCTTACCAGCTCTCAAGCTTCGCTCTGAACTCACCAGTGGCATGTGCACATTGCTGTATGTCTAAATTAGCACATGTGATACACACAGCATTGTTACACTGAAGGCTAAGCAAATACTCCAGAGATAGAGACCTTTCATTATGTGAGACAGCTTGCTGATATGACTGAGAGGGTCCCCAGAGGTGATATTAGATACTTTGTTTATAAATATAAGTATACATATACTCCGTGGGAATATACACATTCTTTAAGAACTAACCTGACATGGAAAATGTACCCATGCTTAAACCACTAATTTGCCTGCTTGTGGCACTCTCGCCATCCTTAATGGTGGATTATCTTTGGTGTTAACAATTAAAACTTGGAGTCAGCTATCAGGGGGTGGAGGGTGAAGGATCAGAGAAGCAGGGCAGATAGCCATTAGAGTTCTTACCTCTACCAATGCTCACACCAAAGAGGCCATCCAGTCCTCAGGCTGCATCTACTTCTACAAATCCTTCGACTGTTTTGAGCTCCTGACTCCTCCCACCTTATGTTCCTCTCTCTGCCCAGCCATGTTACTCCTGTCTCTACCTCCCTAGTGCTGGAATCACTTTTGTGTGAGCTCTGTTTCTCTTTTAGACAGATTCGATCTCGTGTAGCCCAGGGTGGTCTTGAACTAACAGAGATCAGTCTGCCTCTGTCTTGAGAGTGCTAGGATTGAAGGTGTGGGCCACCACTGTCTGGCCTCTGTGGCTAACTAGTGACTTAGCTCTGCACTCTGATCTTCAGGCAAATGTTATAGCATAAACAAAATATGATTACAGGAAACCCATTTGCCCACTCCCAAATTTCTGGCAGCCGGAAATTCTGTGACAATCTTAATTGAAGATGTTGGTTAAAACAGAACTGTGTCAGTCTGGGAGGCCATTCCTGGCTCAACCTCACAGGTAACATACATGGAATCCTTAAAAAATTATTTATTTATTGCCAAGTAAGTGAATGATTCTGGGACTTATCTGCTCTGGGGCTTCGTGAGTTATTTCCATTCCTTAAGAACTTTTAAGTCACTAGTAGGGAAAAGTTTGTGGACAACTTCATTAATTAAAAGGCCCAAAATGTACAAGTCACTTTGTAATTTATCAAAAGTGTCAGAATGAATGGAGAGCCAAGACATGTAGATGGGTGGGCGCTACAGACAGGCTGAACAAAGTTGGTAGGAGGAGCCCACCAAACAGAAGTCAGGCCAGGAGAATCCAGAAAGGGGAGTTCCTGGAACTATGGGTGCTAAACTCAGGTCAGTTTACAAATGAACAGTAGAAATGCTCTGAGAATGAGAAGTCTTTGTTTAATGATTGCTGATCAGTGCCGAAGAGGTGTCAAAGCCTGTCGAGTTCTTTTTTATTTTTATTTTGTGTGTGAGTACTTTGTTTGCATGTATGTAAGCTCACTATGTGCGTGCCCAGTATCCACGGGGGGGGGGGGGGGGAGGACAAAAGAGAATCCTGGATCTCTTGGAACTTGAGTTACAGATGGTAGCAAACCACCACATGGGTGCTGGGAACCAACCCAGGTCCTCTGCAAGAGCAACAAGTGTTCTTAACCACTGAGTTATCTCTTTAGCTTCTTTCTTATTTTTCCCACTTCTTAATCATCGCTAGAGCATGATGGTCAGGAAGGGGAAGTCTGGAAGGCACACTTTGGTGAGCAGTATCCATTGTGCCATGTCCAAGCCTTTCCTGTGGCTCAGGAGGCATTAGTGGCATCAAAACTAAAGTCCAGGGTCATCTGAAGTCTTACTTAAAAGAATAGTCCTAGCAATTTCTCCCACAAATTCCCCCCTTTTTAGTATTAGAATTACGGGTTGGCATTAGCAGAAAAGATAGAACTGAGTTCTACTTCGTTTCTCCCTCCCTCTGGGAGGGAGACTTGGTAACAGTCAAATATCCAGAAGGCAAGCAATTAGCAGAGGAAAGGGAGGACAATCACGACTCGACTGTACGTTTACTGTAATTGCTGAATTATTCACATTCTTATTCTGGGCTGAGGCAGTCTGGTTTGGATGTGGTAGAAAGGGTATCGGGAAGGAAGCACAAGCCTCTCTAGACCCCGTTCTGCAACCCATTGCATGTCGGCACACTGTTCTCTCCTTGAGGTTCTGCTTTTTTATTATTATACACTTCGTTGAGATGCAAATGTTTGTTCACCTTTTGGGGTATAGGGTAATTCAGCACATAGATACAATATACACCCCAGGGCAACAGGCACTTCCGGCAAATGGTGCCATGTCAGACAGTGAAAGTTGCGAACCTTCACGTTCTTCTGGCTATTTTGAAATAGAGCGACAATTTTGAGCTATAGAAAGCCAGAAGTAATTCTTTCTACTTGTGTTTCAGTTTCTATCTCACTTCTTCCCAGACCCTTCTCATCTGCCTTTCTCCATCTCTGGTGACATTATTCCACTCTGTTCCAAGATATTAGCTTTTTAGTTTCCACAATTGTGTGTCTGGCTAAGTCCATTGAACGACGTTCAGTTCCACCTACACTGCTGCAATTGGCAAAATTCCATTCTTTTTAAGGGCTGAATGATGCTTTATTATACATTTTCTTCTAATGGACACCTTGGTCAATTCCGTATCAAGAGAGTGCAAGTATCTGTCTGATATGGCAATTCCCTTTGACTATAATACGTTGGGGTTGTTATTCTGATCAGGAAAACAAGGAAATGTTACATCAACTCTTCTCTAGTTTTCGTGTACAGCACCTCTACCTGAGGTGGTTTCAGTACACGTTTGTAAATCTGGCCCTAAGATGAGTGGGTAAGCCTGAGGAATCTTCGACAGACTGATTTAACCCCTGTTGTGGCATTAGCTACGAACACTACCGAGAATTATCAACTCATAACTCATAAAATCAACATCTCAATCTTATATAAAAATCAATATTTACTTCATATTGAATCTGGAAGGGTAAAATGAATCAAGGCTTTCAAAATACCAAGTGCTCTGACGACCATATATTGAACCATAAACAGATGGTTCACAGTATACAGTAGTGTGTATGACACAAGGTAAATTCCCCATAAGTATCTGCTAAATAATAACGTTTTCAAAGAGCAAAGTTGCCTTTGTTTTCGTAAAACTCAAATTCTCTATTATCCCGGGAATTACTGACCCAAGAAAGCTAGCACTTTGAGAGAACCGCTTCAATTTCACGCTCAATCTCTGTCGTATAAATACTGTTACATCGTGAGGCTGACAATAATTTAAAAAATAATAATTGAACGATAGCACTCCCGTTAGAGTGGATGAGCCGAGATGGAGGGACCGAGTCTCCTTAGCTCGATCCTGCGGCATGATGACGGTTCTCATCTAGGTGCATGTCTCCCCTGAAAGTCACTCGGTACGATTGATTTCGAAACACACACACAAAAAAATCAGAATTACATTTTCCGTGTTGTTGGTGAGGCGGAAAACAAGAGTACGTAACTTTTAGGAAGCTCGTGAATCAGGGCTAACACCAGTGAACTTCCGTCCCCATTGGCTTCCTGCGGCGGTGAGGGTCCCTCGCCAAGCACTCGGCTTGTGCTTCTCGGGGTTTTCAGTGAGAGAAGCCCAAGGGTAGCGCGGGCGAGAAAGCCGCCTGGGAACCTCGGAGGTGGCCTCCTAGAAAGATCGCGGCGAGGGGAGGAGCCCCGATTGTCCTGGAGAACAGCGCGGCCCCATCCGGGAAGTGGCCGCCCGCGGGGGGCGGCTCCGGGTGCCCGCGCCAAGGCGCACAGCGAGAGCGCGCGGAGCCCGGCCCGGCCTCCCGGGCCTCCTTAGCCCTGCGGCCCGCTCGGGGCAAGGCAGCTCCTCCCCGCAGTCCCTGCTTCCGCCCGGGTCCCGGGAGCACCGCGCCCACGGGCCCCGGGAGCCTCGGCCGTGCGGCCGGGAAGTCCCGGAGCTGGGCGCGGCCCTGGTCTTGCTCTCTCTGCCCCCGGGGATGGGCTTCGTGGGTACCTGCAGCCACCCGGGAACCTAGATCCGGCCAGCAGTTGCAGCTACCGTGGACTGGGCGGGAGACCCGAGCCAGCTGAGCTTCCGAAGGTCCCAGTGGACCTGCTGCTGCCACCCGCACACTGCTGGCGCCTAGGCTGGCGCTGCGAGCGCGTACGGGGCTTCTCCTCTTCCCCCACCCCCACGGAGCCTCCGCCTTAGTCCCCTACATACGCCAACACATTCGGGGCTGCCAGCTGATTCTACCTACCTCTTCCCCGCCCTCCCATCTTCCGCTCACCTCCGTCCATCTCATACCTTCTTGCCAAAAAAGCTCCAAGGCAAAGATGGACATGAGCGAACAAGTTAGAATACGGCCAAGCGCGTGTGCACTGGGAGGAGGGTGGTAATGAAGTGGGAGAAAATAATGAAAACGAAATTAGAAACACCCGAGAGTGTAACCCCACACGCGCGCCAGGCTCTCAAGCCGCCAGCAGTCTCGGCTGTGTCCAAGTGGAGGCAAATTTTAAACAGTCAGTTCTAGGACAGAATTCACGCGGTGTAGACGCCAGTGGTGCAGGGGGCTTGTGCTCGGGATCGAAAGCTTTCCCCTGAGATACATCTGTATTTGCATTACAGGCACTTGAGTGGTGACACCTACTTTTGGATGCCTCTGAGGCTGGATTATCGGGGCGGGTGGCCTTTGTCACCTCTGTAGCAGGTCGCTGGACTCTGCTCAAGGTGCAATGGGGAGGCAGCTGCTTGAGAGCTGGGGAAAACACCCTGTGCTCTAGCGAATGTGCCGGTCCCCACGGAAGGCACGCGCTCTCCCTCAGCCCTGGCCAGCGGGTGGAAACCGTACACCGAACCTTCTGGGTCCCTCGCCCCTCCCCCACCGAGGCGGTGGCACTTTCTGCTTCCCGAGCTCTCGTCTTCTTCCTCCCTTTAGAACAACCGCGTTAAAACGAGGCAGTGGGAGCTTGCAGACTACGTAAAGCAGGTTTTCCGAGAATCCTCCCGCGACTGCGTGGTGGTGGAACCTTCTTTTATTTCAGAGGCCTTTTCCAGCGAGCGAGGCGGGGTAGGGCTATTGTTCGCGTGGCCGATAGGGGGCAGCAGGTGCACTGCGATGTGCCCACTGGCCGTGGGAAACCGGCCTAATTGGACCTTTGGGTGAGCAGGCTGGACCTGCGGCCTCTCCGGCTACAGTAGCCGCAGCTGCGTGGCCTTGGGCTGAGACCCGGAGCACCTGAGGATGTTCCTTGTGCTAGGCCATCTGAACAACTTAGAGCGCGGCGCCAGTTCAGACGCATGCAAATGCTGTCATTAATAACATATTCGGTCGTCAGGCAAAGTCTACCAGGATGTCTTGGGGTTTCTATTCTTAAAACAGAGAGCCATGACAGTCTGGGTGGCGGGGGAGGGGGGGTGTCTGTTAAATTCTGTTGAATTTCGAACATGCTCCCTCACTAGAAGTTGGGAACCTCCGATCGGCAGAAAGGTGAAGATTCCGAGGTGGCTCGGAAGGTAAAGTGGGAGGACCTGGCGGGTTCGTGCTGACTGTCGCAGCTGGCGCCTCAGAGCCAGAGCTGGGTAGTTCCCTCCGGACCCAGAGGGATTCCTATGGAGACTGAAAACCTGCTGCCCTTGCCAAGACCCAGCATCGTGTTCAGTCAGAATTGTGGAAAGGGAATTACCCATCTTCTGGAAATTCACATTTCCATCGAACAAGCACGTTTTTTTCTAAATTAAAAATACATTTATAAACCGTAATTTCAAAGCAGTCTAATGTAAAAAAACAAATTAGGGGCTGGACATTACAATCATATTTAGGTAGGTTTTTCCAAAGTGATTAATTATGCAAATCAAACAACATGTAAGAGTAACAAGGTTGTGCCCATCCTCTGTAAATATGATGCACAGCTGAAAACTCCAATTAATCCCCAATAGACCTCCGGTAGGCAGGGTAGAATTATATATAGCTTGTACTTGTAGAATTTATCAAAACATGACTCTAAAATGCTCTTATTTTATTATGAAGGGCAGCAAAACATACCAGTGATAATTCTTTTAGTGTAATTTTCCCAACAGCATAATGCTTTTTAGTAATAGAATTATACGTGCTGACGACCTGAAGGTCTTCCACAGCACACTTCAACATCAGAAATCTCATTAACACTCCAAGTCCATAATATGTCAGAATATAGAATCGCCCATAAATAGTAACAAATATTATCTCATTAAATTTGTTGGAAATACTGTATTTATATTTGAGAGGAATGGGAAAGAGTTATACTAACTGGAGAAAAAGTTTGACTTGTGGTCCACATTGCAGAAGGACAATGAATTAATGTAAACTGGATTCGAAATATTAGAGGAGGCAGAGGTCCCACTGTGTCTACTGACGGGCCTACAGCTGCCCAACCTAGGGCAGGGCACTCCTTGAGCCTGCAAACCTGATTGCTCTGTGTCTGGAGGCAAATCTGGACAAGTACCAACACACTGACATGCTGGCATGGTTAAATATTTTCTCCTATTTTTAAGTGGCCAAAAGCTGTGCCAAAGACTATTAGAAATCATTTCTTTAAAGAAAAATTTGCCACAAATTGGCAATAGTAGGTAATGTCAAATGACCTCACGTTCAGGACATTTAACTAATTTGCTCAGTCCTCTGCCAGACCAGCTATAGAAGGCAGGTATCTGTAGCTCCATTGTATGTCTCCATTATGTGTTAATAACTGAGTTTCTGGGGCTTAAAAGATGGTTCAGTGGTTAAGAGAGCTTGCTGCTCCTCTAGAGGACCTTAGTTCAGTTCCCAGCATCCACCTTGGGCAGCTCACAATTACCTGCAACTCCAGCTCCAGGGGAATCTGATGTTTTTGGTTTCTTTATGCACCTACCTTCACACACATGCACAAACAGTCTCCTCCCCTTCACACAGGTAAACACACACACACACACACACACACACACACACACACAACTAAAAATCATAAAAGTAACCTTTACTTGAAAAGAAAACTGAGGTCCCGAGAGTGTCAGCCACTCTCTTGCTTTATGAAGCTATTAATCACACAGCTCCTTTCTGAGCCAGCAGCCCGGTGTGCACTTACCAAGGGGCACAAACCCTGGACTCCATTGCTTCCTGATGCCTAAGCAAAAGTTAGCGCCCTTATTTAAAAATATCACAACTCATATCCTAAAGCCCAAACCAATGTTTTAAGGACAAGAACAAGCCAAGGAACAGTGGGTCTCATCCTCCAGTTTCTGTGTCCTGGAAGGTTTGTGGAGGCAACAGCAGAGTAAAAAGCCATCATATCACCTGGTTTAAAATCACAAAGACTGAAACAGAAATAGCTTGATTTCTCCAGATCAGTTAATGAAAATTCCAATGTTTTTGCTTTGCCTTGGAATGTGTAGACTGAGCTCTGAAATAGGAAACCACACAGAAAATTTAACATATTTCACTTGCTAGTCAACACCTATACACCAGCTTGGAAGAGTTATAAAAATGGCACCTGTAAACATGAAATGTGAGACCCTGGACATGCAGAGAGCCTGGCGATGCTAGGATCTGATGTGGCTCTAGTCTATTGCCACTCACTTGGATATCTGATTATGAGGGAGCCACAGTAGAGGCTTCTAGATCACATGTCCACAGAATAATGCATTGTTTTGTGGAGAATACTAGTGTACATTGTTAATGTTTAAATTATCAACAACAGGGCCAGAGAGATGCCTGGAGGGTCCGGCACTTGCTGGGAAAAACTGACTGCCTGAGGTTGATCCCCAGAACCCACTTAAAGGTAGGAAGAAAGAACTGATGGTACAAAGTTGTCCTCTGACCTCAGATGTGATGTGGCATGGGCTACTCCCCAAATACTTTACTGGGGAGTGGCACAGTCACACACACACACACACACACACACACACACACACACACTAAAATAAACATAAACAGTTTAAATTATCAACACGATTTGAGGTCAAAAAGGGGACTAAAGATGTGTTAGGGTTTTATTGCTGTGAAGAGACACCAGAACCATGACAACTCCTATAAAGAAAGGAAAACATTTAGTTTTGGGGCTCACTTACTGTTTCAGCGGTTTAGTTATCATCATGTAGGGAGTATGGCAGCACACAGGCAGACATGGTGCTGGAGAGTCAGCTGACAGTTCCACATCTGGATGGACCACATGGTGCTGGAGAGTCAGCTGACAGTTCCACATCTGGATGGACCGGCAGTAGGAAGGGAGAAGACTGGGCCTGGCTTGAACTTCTGAAACCTCAAAGCACACCCCCAGTGTCACACTACCTCCATCAAGGCCACACCTACTCCGACAAGGCCACGCCTCCTCAAAGTGCCACTCCCAATGAGCCTCTGAGGACCATTTTCATTCAAACCACCACAAAAGCTGTGCTGGAGGTTGTGCAGTAGTGGGATCTTAGTATCCCAGATTTCCCCCTTTTCTCTCATTCAGTGATTCTCTATTTTATTCTTGAGATCTACAAAGCTTTCTATTACGTACATTAAATCTGTCAGTGTTCACTCTATTAGAAGTTGGAATTGGAAGGTCAGAGAGCTGGGTCAGTGGTTAGGAGCATTGGCTGCTCTTCCAGAGGAGCTGGGTTGGAGTCCCAGTGCTCACATGGTGGCTCACCACAGCCTGTAACTCTGTTTCCAGGGATGCACAGACATATATGCAGGAGAAACACTCATGCGCATAAAACAAAAATAAAATCTTTAAAAACAAAAGAAGTTAGAATTGGAGAAATATATGAAATATTTGTTACTTAATTATCTAATAATGAGAAGTCATTCCGTGTTAATGTATGTTTAATGAAATAAAACCATCTCTCCCCAAATAGATAGAAATACTGTTTTATATTTGCAAGTCTCCTTACTAACAACAGCTGCACTCTCATTTTTGCTCCCACAGTCTGTGTGTTTTGGTGTGTGCTATAGAGACATGGAGAAAATCTGCTTCAATGACTAGATAGATTAGATATATAATATATTACCTATCTATCTATCTATCTATCTATCTATCTATCTATCTATTTGCAGATTTAATTGGCTCTTTCAGACAACTGAGGCTAGTCTTTGATACTACTCCAAAATCCTTCCCCTGGTAATTAAACAAAACTGTGATGTAGATTTTTAGTTCATGTCAATACACCTTTCCCTTTCTGTTATGCTAAAATCTAACTGCGTGTTAGATGGAGCTTTGGCCCAGGCATCTTTTATAGTAGCACCCACTGGCCATCTGGAATTTATTGATTTACTGAATTATGCAGGTCTTCCAAATATTGTCTGTTTTACTGGACGTGACCGAATGTATTGCTTTCAGTGACAGTTTTGCTACTTTTTTTTAAACAATGTTTGCTTGCTCGTTTGTTTTTAGCAGTGATGGGGGCTAACTGTAAGGCCTTAGAGCACGCTAGGCAAGCACTTTACCGTCAAGCTGTCTCACCAGCTTTGTTACTCTCTTTTCAAGCCTTATTTATTTATTCATTTATTTATTTATGGACAGAATCTCACTCTGTAGCTCAGGCTAGACTTGCGCTCATGGCAATCTTCTTGCCCGAGTGTATCGAGTCTTTGATCTGTACTGCCAGCCCTCAAATAATTGTTAATTATGAAAGCTTGGCCTTAGCTTAGGCTTCTCCCACTAGCTCTTGTAACTTAAATTAAGCCATTTATTTTAATCTATGTTCTGTTGCATGGTGTTACCTTATCTCTCCATACTGTTCATGCTGTTTCCTCTGTACTTGGCTGGTGACCCTGCCTTCCTGTTCCCTAAGTTCTCTCTCTGTCCTGAAGTTCCACCTATACCTCCTCCTGCCTAGTTATTGGCTGTTCAGCTTTTTAATTACACCAATCACAGCAACACATCTTCACACAGTGTACAAATATCCTACTACATTTAAGTCTTACAGTTATAAGATTAAAGTCAGGAGCCACTATGCCCAGTTCATCAGGATAGATTTTACACATTGGGATACATATTTTCTAGTATTCTTATTTTGCATGTTAAGTTAAAAATGTAACATTGTTAAAATATTGTCAGCTGTTTTCTTTGAAGTGACAATCTTGTTTTGTTTATTTCTTAGAGACACTCAACGCTGAGCAACCATAATGTGTCTGTCACTCAATCATTCTTTTAACTAAGAATGTTATTCAGTAAGAAAAGTGATTAGTTCAACCCAATGCTAAGTGTACTGTTTTCTCTAGATAAACATCCCACTTCTATGTGCAACAGAAACACTTCAGGTAGCCCATCTCCCTACTTTATCCCACAGAATATTAAAAAGACATGTCCTAGACAGTCAGAGTATAATAAAAATCAATACTTTAAGTGCTTGATCAATCACTTTCTTTTTTGTTTTACAAATTTTATTTAAATTAAAAACAATATTATTTTACATATCAACTCCAGTTCCCTCTCCCTTCCATCCTCCCATGCCATGCATCGATCTCCCATCCCATCCCCCATCCATTCCTCAGAGAGGGTGAGGCCTTCCATGAGGGATAATCAAAATCTGTCAAGTCATTTGGGACAGGGCCTAGACCCTCCCCTATGTATCTAGGCTAAGGGAATATCTCTCCATGGGATATGGGCTCCTGAAGTTGGTTCGTGCACTAGGGATATATCCTGTTCTACTGCCAGAGGCCCCACAGACTTCCCAGTGCTCCTAGTTGACACCCATGTTCAGGGGTCCTGGTTTGGTCCTATGTTGGTTCCCCAGCTGTCAGACTGGGGTCCATGAGTTCCCACTTGCTCAAGTCAGCTGTTTCTGTGGGTTTTCCCAGCATGGTCTTGACCTCTCTGTTGGTCACTCCTCCCTCTCTGAAACTGGATTCCAGGAGTTTGGCTGAGTGCTTAGTTGTGGATTTCTGCTTCTGTTTCCATCAGGTTCTGGATGAAGGCTCTAGGATGGCATTTAAGGTAGTCATCGTTTTCATTATAGGGGAAGGGCATTTAAGGCAGCCTCTCCAGTACTGCTTAGATTCCTAGTTAGGGTCATCCTTGTGGATCTCTGTACAATTCCCTAGTGCCAGATTTCTCTTCAAACCTATAGTGGCTCCCTCTATTGATGTGTCTCTTTTCTTGCTCTCCTATATTCCTCTCCCAACTCAATCTTCCTGATCCTTCTCCTCCCCCCTGATTTTTTCACCTCCTCTTTCTCCTACCTCCATCTCCCATCCCCCCATGCTTCCAATTTGTTCAGGGACTCTTGTCCCTTTCTGCTTCACTGGGGGACTCTGTATGTCTTTCTTATGGTCCTCCTTGTTTCCTAGCTTCTCTGGAGGTGTGGATTGTAGGCTGGTAATCCTTTTCTCTATGTCTAATATCCATATGTGAGTGAGTACAAACAATGTTTGTCTTTCTGTGACTGGGTTACCTCACTTAGGATGCTTTCTTCTAGTTCCGATCAATCACTTTCTTGAGTGAAACTGGTTTCTGTTGTGATTGCCAGTGTGCTGAAAACCACGTGATTTCAGTGTTCCCACATCTGTGGTTTCATTTTCTGAAATACTGCTTTCTGTGGCTTCAGCTACCCCAGCTCAATCGTGGCCTGAAAATGCTAGGTGGAAAACTGCACAAAGAAATAGTTGAGTTTTAAAGGGTATGTCCTTTTGACTATGAAGGGCATGAGCCATCTGCATCCATTGTGTCCATGTTTAGTAAGCTATCTGCCCTGATAAGACTCTTAGAAGCCATTTTTGTTAGTAGATCAACTGTTGCAAAATCGCAAAGCTATTATCAAGTAACCCTTGTGCAGTAGCCTACCATTGTGTCTCAATACTCATGTCATTCACCTCTCTCAGTTCACTACAGAGATCCTTTGTTATGTCACATCATCCCAAGGAGAATGAGTGCAGCGTAAAAAGGTGTGTTGAGATACTCCCTCTGTAACAACAGTGTGTAGTTTTCTCTATTATTACCAGTTGTTGTTAATCTTGGTGTACCTGATTTAGAAATTAAACTTTATTATGGATATGTATGTGTCAAGAAAAAAATATTATTTAGTAGTATCTTAAATCTCAGGAATCCATTAGAAGTCCTGAAATGTGTATACCAGGTAGATAAGGGGAGACAACTCCTCCAGTCTGGAGCCCCTGCTTTGTTCTTGCAAAACCAGCCACAGCTTTACCCACTTTAGAGGAAACACTAACACACATAGGAGATAAACGATACCAAGATATTTGTGTGGAAATAGCTTTATTCTCAGTGAGTCCCAGAGTAATGTTGAGAGTGACTGCTCAGGTCCTAGCAGTAAGCCTCCATGTTCATTTGTGACTTAACTTCAAGCTGCTGTATGCTGTTAGTCACTATCTGTTCTCTTATTAGAAACTTTATCATTGATATAGTTGTTTCCCGACAACCGATGAAGTGCCTGGTATGAGCGACAATTAAAGTTTGTTGACGATCAACTGACAAATGGAGATTCGTGGTGCACATACACTACACTCTTACGTTGCTGTCCCAGAAGGCTTTGCTTTTGCATGAGTTACTATGGAAGACAATGGTCTCTCAGCAAGTACATTTATGCAAAGGAAGGAATGATACATATCATCGCGGTATGTTATTATTTTTCAGATAGTTGGCATCATTGGCACACATTCTATCTCCTCTAGCCATTGCTGGCACTTGGGACACGACTCCACATACCAGTTGTAAGAATTTCAGTACAGTTGTAATGTACTTAAAATATTACACTCATTAGCACCACCAGAGGATTAGCTGCTAGAAGTAAAGTGCTTGTCCAATATTTACGGGCAAGCTGAAAAGTACATCTGAGCTTTGGGAAGATTATTATTTCATCTCCTTTGGGTTATACAAGACTTCTTGGATATTAGAGACAGTTCTCTGCTTGTGAGGTCAGATAGTCACTCCCATAAAAAGCAGTGTGACTGGACTTTTCAGTTTTCATACACTGAGTCTGTACTGTCAGGCACTGTAGAGCAGCATACTTAGCATTTTGTAATTGTTGCTATTGTGTGAGAGGGTTTTGCTTATTCCAGACTGAAAGACCCCTACCCAGGGCCCCCCCTAGGAAAAGAAAAGCAAGGCCAGGCCGTTGCCTAATGAAAGAAACCCAGACCAGGTGTCTCACCCTCAAAACAGGATGTCTGTGATCACTATAGCAGTCATGGGACCCGGATAATAATTGCTGAAGCGTGCTGGGAACTTTCATATGACAATACTAGAAAACCTAGTCCTTGGCAACTACCCTGGCCCCCAATTGTGTCTGATCACTATAGCAATCATGGGACCTGGATAATAATTGCTGAAGCGTGCTGGGAACTTTCATATGACAATACCAGGACACCTAGTCCTTGGCAACTACCCTTGCCCCCAGTTGTGTCTATGATCACCATAGTAGTCATGGGACCAGGATAATAATTGCTGAAGTATGCCTGGGTCTTTCATAAAGTAATACCAGGAAACTTAGTCCGTGGGAACTACCCCTGCCCCCAAGATGAGCCAATGAAATGCCTGTTACTTATGTAACCATTGAAACTCTATAAATATTGTACTCCCTGAAAGCCCGGTATGCTCTGCACCCGAGTTGCAGTAGCATCCGCAGGCGCCTGTGTACTTCAGAGAGGAGATATGACCTGTGAGTTAGCCTCCAGCCACACTTTTTTTTTTTTGGTTTTTTTCAAGACAAGGTTTCTCTGTATTGTTTTGGAGGCTGTCTTGGAACTTGCTCTGTAGACCAGACTGGCCTTGAACTCACAGAGATCCTCCTGCCTCTGCCTCCCAAGTGCTGGGATTAAAGGCGTGCGCCACCACTGCCCGGCTTTTTTTTTTTTAAGATTTATTTATTTATTATGAATACAACATCTTGCCTCCATGTATGTCTGCATGCCAGAAGAGGGCACCAGATCCCATTATGGATGGTTGTGAGCCACCATGTGGTTGCTGGGAATTGAACTCAGGACCTTTGTAAGAGCAGTCAGTGCTCTTAACTTCTGAGCCATCTCTCCAGGCCCTCTAGCCACACTTTTAATGTGAATGTGAGTACTACAACTGAACACTTTCAGGTGTTTCATATGGTGCTCACACATACACACACACACACACACACACACACACACACACACACACACACACACACACACACACACAAGGGATTGAACCCAGGATCTTGAATGCTATACCACTGACCTTTTCTTTCAGCCTGAAGTCTTGATTTTAATTTTGTTTAGTTTTAATTCTTTTAAATTTGAATTTCAAAATAGATTCTTGAATCAGTTACTAGAAAACTAGAAAAACTTGAGTATGTTAACTTACTTTCACAACATAAAGTTTTTGAAATCTAAATACTGATCAAGTATTCCCATCAAAATTTAGTGATGGTGGCACACACCTTTAATTCCAGCACTCAGAAGGCAGAGGCAGGCAAATCTCTGTTAGTTCCAGGCCAGTCTGGTCTACAAAGCTAGTCCAGGACAGTCAGAGGTATTACACAAAGAAACCCTGTCTCAAAAACCCCTAAATAATAGTAACTACTGGAGAGATGACTCAGTGGTTTGGAACATATACTGTTCTTGCAAGCAGAGGACCTGGGTTCAATTTCCAGCACCCACGTTGTGGTTCACAACCATCTATAATGGAATCTGATGTCCTCTTCTGGCATGCAGACAAACATATAGACAGAACACTCATATACATAAAATACATAAATATTAAAAAAAGGAATCAAATTGAGATTCGGTGTGTATGTAAAATTCCCGTAATGTTTCAATGGCTTTATGTGACACAAATGAAAGACTATCTTGATGCATCTTTATACTGATTACATGCTTATATTAGTTACTTCTTCTGTGACCAAACGCATGAGAAGAAGCAGATTAAGAGTGAAAGTTTTTTATTTTGCTTTTTTGTTTGTTTGTTTTGGCTAACATTTGAAGGGGATGCAGTCTTCTCTGGCAGAGACATCACAGCTACAGAGTATGAATGGGCAGGTCACATTCCATTCACAGACAGGAAGCAGGAAGAGGTGGGTGCTGATGCTCAAATGGCCATTTCTTTTCCTCCTCCTCGTCTTCCTTGTTCTTTTTTCTTTTCTTTCTTTCTTTTTCTTTTTTTAAACAGTGTGTGTCTGTGTAGTCCTGGATGTCCTAGAACTTGATTTGTCAACAAGACTGACTTTGAACTCAGAAATCCTCCTGCCTCTGCCTCTGGAGTGCTGGGAGAAAAGGCATGTGCAACCACGCCTGGCCATGATACTTTCAATAAAGAAAATTTTCTCCTACAGTAAGGTCTTTTTCTTCCTCATTTGCCTTTTCAGACATAACTTCCATGTTGTATTCTTATTGTCTTTATTTTTTGGTATCTGATACTAGATATTTTCCTTTAATACTATTCCTTTCCCCAAAACTTGATTTGTAGTTATTGTCTCTAGTAGATTGCCTTAAGTGAGTTTTGAAGTTATTATATACATTTTTGTCTTTCAAATTTATCATGCTAAGATTTCATTTATATGATTTTAAAATTAGGGAGAAAACAGAACACAAAAGTATACTTTGTTCAGAAATGTCATAATGGCCTCTAGCATTACATGCTGATTCAGAATGATATAAATAGCAAACATTAAATAAATAACCATGGATACTAAATAAGTAAAAGTTAATCAGGGGACTAGATGTCTTTGTAACTCTCAAATTTGTTTAGAGTGTTAAAACGAGAGGGTTACGTGTCTTTGTATGCTTTGCAGTCATGCTCCATAATTAGCATTTTGCAAGTATTTAGGACCTTTCACAATAATTGTATTTATCTGTTTATTTTCAGTAAAACTGTGTTTGGGCATTGTGGGCTAGAAGAGAATATATCCTGATTAAAAATAAGTAGAAATATGATCCCAACATGTTGTTTGAAGGACATAAAAGAAATCCAAATGGGCAACTCAGGTATGGCCTTCCTAAACGATTGAAAAGCGAAGCAAAACAACAAAGAGAGGGGGACGGAAGAAGGTGAGGAAAGAGTCATCAGAGGAAAGTAGTGAAACAGGTGTAGAACCAACCATAGAACAACAGCAGTCGGGTGGAGACAGCAGTTTTTCTTTGCTTACGATACTGGGAACCTGACACCAATGCGGGTTGGCATTGCACCTGCTAGGCCAGTGCTCTGCAATTGGTTGGGTTGAGTCCCCAGCCAAGAAAGCACTGTTTGTGAGTAAACTGAAGTAGTACATTTAACCACTAAAAAGCTGGTGAATAGTTATTTTAATTTGCGTGTTAACCCATGGGTGTGAGTAGTGAAAAGAAGGGAAGGTTTTATGTTTCTAGCCTAAAATATATAGCTTTTCTTGTAAGAACATTCAAATTAGTTTTGAACGATAAAGCAATGTACCTATATTTTCCATATGTAATTAGTTTGTTTATACACAGAAAACATTTTGGAGTTTGTTTTTCATGCCATACAACTTAACATTTGTTCATTTGATTGACAGAAGTGAATTTTCTTCCATTTAGCATTTCTGGGCAACTTCTCACTGAAATGCCTAGTTGTTTTGAAAGAGAAAACATATGAGATAAAAATGTCCACAGAAAGAAATAACTAATACTTAGATGGGTGAGAAAAATAGCTTAGGTGATTTCACAGATAAAGAAAGGGCAACCTGCTAGGGTCCCCTCTCTGGATGGGACTGCAGAGCCCCACAATTCTTCCTGAAGATGGCAGTATGTCAGTGCCTAAAGCAGTGAGCTGCAAACTGTACAGAGTTCTGGGAGTTGGACAAAGGTGTCCTTTTCTTTTTCTTTCTTTCTTTTTGGATAGGAAAGTCCCTTCAGCAAGGCATCCTGATTCCTGCTTCGAATCATGTCTAGAGGGATGTATGCTGCTGGCTTGCTTACCAATGGATGCTGAAGGTAAGTACCACACAGTAAGATAGCATTTTAGCTCCTGGAGTACCTGTGGGGAAACCTCTGATGGTACTGCAGAATGAAAAAGAGACCTGTCACTCACTTCAGAATTCAGGGTGGAGCAGCAAGTGTGCAGAGAAAAGAAGCAAGGGATGTGTCTGCCATCACCTCCCATCCTGAGCAGTTGAGTTCATCAAGGCCACATGAAAAGACAAGCTGAAGTTCCTGAACGTTTGATACAAATAATAAACACATACATAAAACCTTATCCTTCTCAGTAATTAGTATGCCACCAAAAGAAGTAAGAGTGTTAACAGATTTGGGGAATGAATATATTAGTAATAAAAATAAAATGAAGGCTGCACATTTTATGCAGCAAATTCTAAGAGAAGAATCTGTACACACACACACACACACACACACACACACACACACACACAAACATATGGGAAAGTAAATACACAACAAAAAAGCATGAATGAGCAAAACTGTTATGTAAAGATAAAGTTTGAGTTGTCTGTGTTGTTTAGTTTTAATATATTTTAAATACCCAATAAACACGAGGAGCATTGATATTCAGGGGTTATCTTAGCATTTTATTTGGTTGGCCAATGCCACATTAAATTGAAAATAGACTGATTTGTAGAACCATCTGCCATAAATATCTAGATATGAGTCTTCCAAAGGAACTGGAAACGACAGAGCCCCAAGTGATGCTGCAGGTTGTGGTCCTTTGTAAGTCGTCACCAACAATGGAGAGAAACCAATTCTTGCAGTAATAGCACGATATTCTATTGTTCACAGCCTCTGTAAAATTCTCTTGAAAACAATATATTTCTCCTTTAGTTTTTATCTTAATTAGTACTATAATACAATAATAAGATTATAAATACTTTTATGTATAATTGCATCATCTTTTTTAAAATTTAACTTTTTACACATGTTACTCTCAGTTTCCTCTCCCTTCCCCTGGCCCCCCAATCCTCCCAGACCCCACCCCACTCTATCCCGCCTCCACTTCCCAGGGAGGGTAAGGCTTCCATGAGGGATTTTCAGAGTCTGTCATATCATCCTGGGCAGGGCCTAGGTCCTCCCATCCTGTCTGCACTAATTATATAAAGTGAGCCCATTTACATCAGCAGTCTATTTATCAGTAAGGTCCTTCAGGGTTTTACCAATTTTTAAAGATCTCAATCCTTAGAGATATAGATCTTTTGGGATATTTGTGTGTGTGTGTGTGTGTATGTGTGTGTGTGTGTCTGTGTGTGTGTGTGTGTGTGTGTGTGTGTCTGTGTGTGTGTGTCTGTATGTGTGAGTGTGTGTGTGTCTGTGTGTGTGAGTGTGTGTGTCTGTGTGTGTCTGTGTGTGTGTCTGTGTGTGTATGTGTGTGTGTCTGTGTGTGTATGTGTGTGTGTGAGTGTGTGTATGTGTGTGTGTCTGTGTGTGTATGTCTGTGTGCGTGTGTCTGTGTGTGTCTGTGTGTGTGTGTGTCTGTGTGTGTGTGTGTGTCTGTGTGTATACATGTACAGTGGTATATGGATGCACTCACCTATTGAGGTTCTTGTAGAGGCCAGAGGCTGATATCAGGTGTCTTCCTCATATTTTGGAGACAGGGTTTCTCCTTGAATATGGGACATGTTTTGACTATACTGACTATACTGGTTAGCAAGAGCCTGAGATCTGTCTGCTCCCACCCTGGTGCTGAAGTTACAGTCAGCCATGTCCTGCTTTTATGTGAGTATTTGGAATCAGAACTCAGGCCCTCATGCTTTTGCAGCAAGCTCTTTACCCACTGAGCAAGCTCCCTCTCCTCAAGATACTATCTTATATACGCTACTCCCTAAAAGATGCATCCTACGTACTTACTGGACTCAACCTTCTCTTGTATCCTTTATTGTATAGTATTGATATCACTTTATTGAACTTAATTGTTCATTCAAAGATTGGTTCAAAGATTTTCTTCTCTTTGGTTTTATTGGGGTTTGAATATAGCATGCTTGGATGTAATTTTTAATTTTTGATTTCCATTTTTGACATTGGCTCACTCTGCTTGCTGTGTTGCCATATCTCTGGATCCACGGTATGGTGTCTACACCAGTTTGGGGAATAGATATCTGTCCTGATTCCTTTAAAATGTTTCTCTTTATTTCTCTTGTTTTCATTACACATACATTGCCTCTTTTGGACTTGACCCCCAGTTTCTCGGAAAATTTCTTCTTCTTTACTCTTACTTTCTTTACTCTTACTTTCCTCTGTGCTTTTTCTGTTTTGTGAGATCCTGCTAAAGATTCTTTCTGCAGTCGAGACTACCAGAGCCCTTCTCCTTTTCACCCAAAGTCTTCTGATTTGCACTTTGCACAGGTGCTTTAATTTCTGACCTGATAACTCTAGCTTATTTTCAATATCTGACTTCCATATGATGTTTAAACTGGCTTTTCAAATGGTCTTTTGTGTTTAACATGCTTTATTAGTTTTTAATTAAAATCTACACTTGGTATTCTTAGTTAGGGTTTCTATGCTGTGAAGATACACCATGACCACATACAATTCTTATACAGGAAAACATTTAATTGGGACTAGCTTACCATTTCAGAGGTTTAGTTCACAATTGACCAGAAACATGCTGGCAAGCAGGCAGACATGGTACTGGAGGAGTAGCTGAGAGTTCTACATCTTGATCCCCAAGGCAGCAGAAACAACTGTGACATTGGGCATAGTCTGAGCATAGGAGACTTCAAAGCCCACTATTACAGAGACATATTTCCTCCAATAAGGCCACACCTCCTAAAAAGTCTCACTCCCTATGGGCCAATCATTCAAACACATGACATAATGGGAGCCATCCCTATTCAAACAACCCATCTTACTGATGGTTTCTATTGCTATGATGAGACACCATGACCAAAATGCAGGTTGGGGAGGGAAGGGTTTACTTGGCTTACACTTCCAATATGACTGTTCATCATTGAAGAAAATGAGAACAACATGGCAGGATCCTAGAGGAAGGAATGATGCAGTGGTCATAGAGGGATGCTGCTTACTGGCTTACTTCTATGACTTGCTCAGCCCACCTTCTTATAAAACCTAGGGCCAACAGCCCAGGGATGGCACCACCCACCATGGACTGGACCCTCCCCATTGATCACTAAATGAGAAAATGCCTTTCAACTGGATCTCATGGAGGTATTTCCTCAACTGAGTCTCTTTCCTCTGGTGACTCTAGCTTGGGTCAAGTTGACACACAAAACCAGCCAGTACACAACCACATTGGTGTATGTTGTTAAAGGCTGCAGTAAATATTCACAGAGAGAATAGTGGTAAGGGGCAGAGAAACACAATTGTTCTGTCATTCTCTAGTTTAGCCCCCACCTTTTGGTAAACTTATTAAACTTTTGGATTGTGAACTTCTTTATGGTTTCTCAGTTTTATGTCCACCCCGGGGGTGGACTGGTGACAGAAGGGGTGGTGTGGGTTTCCCTTTCTGTGGAGAGGGTAAACCTTGATAAAAACCTATCATATCGGACCCTGTTTGTTGAGAACAGGGTTTGTTTTTTTATGTTTCTTTAAGTTTTTTAATTTTAATTTTAAATAGCTTGTTTTACATGTCAATCTCAGTTCCCTCTCCCTCCCCTCCTCCCGCACCCCCCACCCCCCACCCAGCCTCCCACCCTATTGCCAATTCCTTCCACATAGGGGATATCTAGAGTCTGTCATTTCACTCAGGGTAGGGTCCAGGCACTCACCTAAGAGTCCAGGCTGAGAGAGCATCCCTCTTTGTGCTATGGACACACGATGTCTGTTTGTATTCCAGGGATAAACACTGATCCACTTCTCAGGGCCCCATAGGTAGCCCAGGCCTCCTCATTGACACTCACATTTGGGGGTCTGGATCAGTCCCATGCTGGCCTCCCCGCTGTTGGTCTGGGGTCCAAGAGCTCTCCCCTGTTCTGATCAGCTGTCTCTGCTGGTTTTGCCAGCCCATTCTTTGCCAATTTGCTCATCACTCCTCTCTCTCTGTCACTGGGTTCCTTGGGTTCAGTTTAGTGATTAATTGTGTGTTTGCCTCTGCTTCCATCAGTCACAGGATGAAGGCTCCCGGATGGTTATAGACATCAAGTTCATTATCAGGAATGGGCATTTGAGGTAGTCTCTCCATTATTGCTTAGCTTGCCAATTGGTGTCATCCCTTTAGATTACTAGAGGTCACACTGGTGCCTGATCTGTCTTCTAACCTATGATTCCCTCTTCCCCCTATTCTACCCCCTGCCACTCAACCTTCCTATTCCCCCATGACCTACTCTTTCTTCTTCTTCTCCCCCTCTCTTCTTCCCAGCTCAGAACAGGGTTTGTTAAGAAGAACAAATGCCTTCTTTGCTACTCTCCTGGCAGTAAGCACAAATATTTTAACCAATATTCATGTGGTGGTTTGAAAGAAAATGGTTCCCAAAGGGAGTAGTACCATTAGGATGTGTGGCCTTGTTGGAGTAGATGTGGTCTTGTTGGAGGAAGTGTGTCACTGTGGAGGTGGACTTTGAGGTTTCATATATGCTCAAGCCATGCCTGTTTCTATGACCAATTCCTGTTGCCTGCAAAAAAGGCATAGCGCACTTGGCCATTTCTGCACACAACCAACATGCACCATGACGATAATGGACTAAACCTCTGAAAATGGAAGCCACTCCAACTAAATATTTTTTCTTTATAGGAGTTGCTGTGTCATAATGTCTGGTCACAGCAATAGAAACCCTAACCAAAACAATTCACATGGTAAAATTCCTGGAGGTAAAACTCTCAGAAGGGTGGATGCTCCTATGTGAGTGAGTTCCTCTGGAACTTTGACGCTCAAACTGTGGAATCCTCTGGAAGCCTATGCTGTTATGGGATTCCTTACACTATCTCTGTGGTTTTTCTCTCTTGTAAATTCTTATTCTCTGAATTTGATCGTTTATGTCTCTAATTTTCAGGGTAGTAGTTTGCACTGTAGCCTCAGAAAAAGTTGTTGAACTTATAGTTGGGCCTGCCTTTTATTTTGTTGTTCTAAATTCTTTGCATGCAAGACCAGAATTTTCAGTTCTTTACAGTTTAGCTACAGATATACAGAGAAATTGAAGCAGTATTCATGTAATGATGTAATATCCTTGCCTCCTTTTGGGGGAAGACTTTTTGGAAACAATATAAATATGATGTAATCCTACAGTCCCTTGGAATATGACAGAATGAGAGGAGAAAAAGTACAGTGTAATCGTATACTCATACTATCAGTAAATTCTGAGGTATGAGAAATACAGTTTTTAAGAAAATCAGTCACTGTTCATGTTTGCTTATGTATGTTTATTAATATGAGGCCAGAGATTGATGTTGCATCTTCCTTAAACACTCCCTATCTATTTTTTTTAGGCATAGTCTCTCACAGAACCTCATCAATTTGACTAGATTCGATGGTCAGTAAACTCCAGGGATCTTTCTATTTCTGCCTGTCCATACTGGGATTCCAGATGTGTGATCAAGGTTGGTTTAAATGTGAGTGCTGAGGATCTAACTCGGGCCTTCATGATCATCTGGCAAGACCTTTCCTAACCAAGCCATCTTGCCAACCCTTAATCATTCACTGGTTAGAGTTTTTGTCTTAGTGTTTTGTACTGAATGAGAGTACTATAGGCAAATTGTAAATAGTAGAGCCTCACTTTTAGGTTATGGAGGGTGGAGAATTCAAGAACTAAGCTGCTTTGGTGCTTTGCCAAATGCACACTGCTTCTGAGATAAATACACCTTGATGCTGTATTCAAAGGTGGGGAATGTGCCTGCCTTGTGTGACAGAGGTGGGAATCCAAAAAGGGAACAAACTCTTTGCAGCAAGCTCTCTTATACCGCATCAATGTGTTCAAAAGGCTAAAGCCTTTGGAGTCTTAACACCTCATGAAAGGTTCGAACTTCCAACTTTGTTGTATCAGGAATTAAATGCCCAACACATCACTTTTGTGGATACTTTCAGGCCATAGCAGCATTGAAGATATAATGAGATGGGACTGCAGCTATAACTCCAACCATAAACAAAGAGTGATGGGGGAAGTCCTGTACATTTGTTAATAAAGCATGGTTGAGCCAATAGGAATCTAGATAGCTGGGACTAGGAGTCCAGGAGGATTCTGGGAAGGAGAAACACAGGAGAGTCGACATGTAACGCCATGGGGTAGGAAGTCCGGAACTATTCTCCGGTAAGAGACATACTTAGATTAACAATTATGAAGTAATTACTTAAGTCAGAGCTAGCCAGTAAGAAACAAGCAAGGCCAACAGCTTCATAATTAATATAGCCTCCTGTGTGTTTATTTGGGACTGATGCGGCTCTAGAACCAGGCTGGCGGGAAGGCTTCTCTCAAGGAAAAGGCTTCTCTTTACAAAAGAGTACCTGTGCCCCATGTGTACCCTGACTTTTGTCTGGCACCCCCACTGTTAGCAGTTCAGAACTCAATTGGGTGGTGGAAGAAATATGATAGGCACAGCTGACTACATTTCTTTTACTTTCTTTCTTTGAAGTCCCACGAAGATTTTCCCTTAAATAACAAAATGTTCCAGAACTATTCTTTATTTTTTCCACATGGTTTGTCATCTCAGAAAACACTTTTTAAGGTACCTGTTCTCTGTGATTACCTTTATTCTTGTCATTCAATAATCAATATATGCCATCTCACCCACTTTGGTTTTTCCTCAGAAGAGTTCCCTTTTTTAATACCTTGGAGTTATTATTTCCTTCCTTCACTCAGAAAACCATGAAAGCCAATGAGCACAAGGTTCACAGATGCTCTGAAGGTTCATGGACTAGTGACGTTGTTGCCCCTGGTCGAGTGATCAAAATGGATCCCGAAGTGAACTAATGGTATTGAAGAGTGTCTTAAGCCAACAGGAAGCAAGAGCCATTTTGTCCTTATTCCACTTCAAAGTTATTCTAATTGCGAAGTTTTCCTTTGTAATGTTATTTATAGCAGCAAAACAAATAACATTTGAAAAACGGAGGAAAAACAAGCAGGACTGTGGGAGAAAAAAGTCACAAACAATGGAATCACATTGGAAATATTTGTCTTTTACTTTACTAGCTTCATCATCGCTCTTTGATCCTTGACTAAAGGTAATTGTACTCACCTGTGAACTTCCACCATTTTTGAAACATGGATCGGCATATCGAGTTCTCTCGCTGACTCCCAGCAAGTTATAAACTTCTTGAGGTGAACAACTGTTGTTCTTGAACATTGGACACACTAATGGTTTCTTTGAGAGAAACACACATGCAAAAGTCAGTCCTCAAATGAATCCCCATTCTTGTGGCTTAATTAAATAGTATGGGTACCCTGAACACAAAGTTCAAGTTTAATTTACATTAGTGTGCTACCCCAGACTAGCTGCATACAATGCAAAGTTTATTTCTGGGCACAAGTTGGCTGCAGTGTCCAGGAGAGAACTAACTGTATGACTGCTCTACTGAATTCTCTCTCTTCTGGAACTGTTCTTTGCTCAAGTATTTTCCTTTCAATTGTGATGAATAGGATGAATGGTAGAGGCTCTTGCCATTCACGCTTGGAAACCTGAGCTTAATCCCTGGAAGCCATGTAAAGATGGAAGGAAAGAACAACTCCACAAAGTTGTCCTTTGACCTCTACCCATATGCTGGGGCAGGGAGGCACAAACACACACACACACACACACACACACACACACACACACACACACACACTATTCATACATAGAAACATAATGATAAAAAATAAAAAGTTGTGATTAAAAAGTACGTAATACACCGGGCGGTGGTGGCGCACGCCTTTAATCCCAGCACTCGGGAGGCAGAGGCAGGCGGATCTCTGTGAGTTTGAGGCTGGGCTGATCCGACAGCCTCAAGGCCAAGACAATACAGAGAAACTCTTTCTCATAAAACCAAAAAAAAAAAAAAGGTATGTAATACAAAATAAATTTTATTAGCTGTTTTTCTTCTAGTATTTTGAGGCAGGTTTTCTCTATGTAGCTCCAGCTCTACTGGAACTCACTCTGTAGACCAGGCCGGCCTTGAACTCTGAGACCCACCTGCCTCTGATTCTCTGACTTTCTGCCCTTGCTAGGATTAAAGGCTTGTACCACCACCACCTGGACTATTAGCTATTTTCATGTATGGGTTAGGGTTAGTTAGGGTGTGGGTTAGCGGGTAGGAAACCTTGAGTGAATATGTAAGGACTGGATGAAGTCCTAAGTGAATGCATGCTATTGACAAGGACCAATGCCTCAGACCTACGGAGATAGGCAAAGCCTTCCTCCAAGGACCAGTGCCCTAGACCCATGGGAACTGGCAAAACACAAGTGGGCAAGCTGGGCAGTATGTGGCAGGTCAGTGTTTATTTACATTTGAAGGACCAAAGCTTGTAAAACTGAAACTGTGTCTCTAACCAACTTCCCATTTTTCTCTGCCCTAATCCCCAAGAAACCACCATTTGCTTTCTGTTTCTATGATTTTGACTGGTCACAATCACACAGGAATGGAAACTTATAATATATACCATTTTGTCATATCCTGCTGTTTTTGTGTATAGTTGATTGGCCCTGGAGCTCCCTCACAGAGGGAGGGATGAGGGAACAAGATCACATTTATGTACTATGATGAATGCCAGTTAAGATGTCCCAGTCTTTTAGATAAATATAAACGTAAATTGTCATGTTTTCATTCTCCAGTCCAGTATACGTTGTGTAATTCACTGTCAATGGCTTCTCGCCTGAAATCCAAAGGGGCACTCATTTGGTGAACACTCATGTGTTTTAACTGTGTCTTCAAGAAGACACAGACCATGCGAACTGGCTTGTACGCCAGTGATAGGATGGTTCAAAAAGACTTCTTGAATCTTCTAGGCTTTACACAGGGAAAGAGCCTCTGTGGTTGTTGTCAGGTAGTGAGGACTGTTCTAAGACTGAAGATCTCAGTCTGACTGGGGGAGAGGGCTGATGAGAGCAGTACAAAACTCTTTGGGAAAAGAATGAGCAGAACTCCTCCCACCAGCCAATACAGGGGGATGCTAGTTTCCTGTGGAGTTTCTACATAGCCCTTCTTCTGGTCAGTGCTTGGAGAAAATAGTAAAGCTGTCTTGTTCGGCTTCACTGAATGATGGTCTCAGAATGTCCTGTTTGATGTTGGTGTTCTATGGGGTTGTTTATATTCAACAGAGGCGTATGCTCCTTTCTTAAAGGATCATGGAAAAGTTGAAATGAGATAAGCACCCATCATACTGAGCAAGTTAATTTGGAGTAAGAGCTTAAGTTAGTAATAATGGACTTTCATTATCGCCCCCTCTCTCAAGGGGAACTAATAAATGTCTTTCCTATTCACTAAAGAATAAAGATGTTTACTGTGATACAATGGTGAGTATGTGTAGCCTCTGACAGCCTGGCTCTCAGGTATCGTCATAAACATCCCTTTACAGTAGACGCGGTTGCCAGCACTGCCGAGGTACAGCAGGAGTACCTCTGGTCACCTTTCATGTCACTTTTCATCCTGTTTTCCTATTGAGCTGCCCAACAGATGAACAAGCATTGTCTGGAGAAAAAGGGACAGCAGAAGAGTCTCTCGCTTTTTAAAAACACTCTATGGGAAGCTGTTGCTTTTCAATCTTGCACACCATTTTGTATGCCCCTGCAGTAGTGATTACAACTCATTAATTGATTAATGATAATCCAACGCTGTAGGCATTGGAAGTGCAGCACATTTGTACACAAAATAGTGATTAGTGTGATTACGGTTTCAATATAGCCTGTGTACTATATGCACTTGGAATTCCAACTGTCTGCTCAGCTTCATGCGGCAGACAGCTGCTTTGCAACACACCTGATTTGGTGGCTATATTTGGCCTTTCCTTCCTTGACTTGTGAGTGAACCCAGGAATGACTTTTAACAGAAAGGAAAAAGTGGCTGGAACTAACTTCTGAGTCCTTTCCTAACATATCTGTCTGCAATGTCAACTGCTTTCTTGCTTTCCCAGTCACTAACATACACTTTAGAAGCACCGGAAGTTCTTTGTGGGAACTTCTGGTCAGACACATATTCATGAGCTGTTGTGAGTTAACTTAATATATAAGCATTTTGGGTAGGGCCTGCCAAATATATAAACACATTTTTTTTGTGACTCCGGTATTATCTTTACTATTACACACAATTTCCAGAGAAATAACTGGACAAAATAAACCCTACTGGCTTGTGTCTTTTTCATTGGTGATAAGTACTTCAATATTGTCATCTGTCATTAGTAAAATAAAACACAGAAGGCAATGTTGCTGTTTTAATTGTTGACAAGCCTCTGAAAATACTTAGTTTACAAATAAGATGTCTAAACTGTTTAATTAAATTAACCAGTCATTCTTCTCAATTATTTGTGTGAGGATTACAGGCATGTCTTACCTTGTTGTTGTTGTTTTACATTGTTGTTTCAGTGAACAAGAAGATGTGGTTGGCAGTATCCTATTGATTAAAATCATCTTGGCTAATAGACATAGCTCTATCAAAACATTGGCTTATACAGTTTGCTGGAAGTCTCTGATGAATGTTACTCCTCTTGGTGGGTAGAAACTGCTCTTTAGTTGGCCCAAGTGTTTGGCATTAAGCGTTTGCTGCTCTTAGATGACAAGATGGGTATTTGGCTTGGAGAAGTGACACTAATAGATACCTTGACCTGGATATGATCAAGGATGAATCTTCATTGCTGCTGTTGGTAGCTGGCCCCCATCATCAGAACTCATTTCAGGTATGAGAGAAAAGACAAATGCACAAATATATTTATACTACATTGAGCAGATTTGGGCAAGTGTAATAGGAGGTGATGTAAATTCTTGCTGAAAAAGAAGCAGGGGCAGGAGGGATTACCCGGAGCTGGGTGGCTTTTATGATAAATATGGCTCTTGAATGGGCTTTGAAGGGTAGGAAGTAGTTCAAGCAGCAGAGATGGTTAAACGTGGGAAGATGAGGAACATTCTAGGACTTAATGATGGTGTTGAACAAGAACACAATGGTAACAAGAGAGTGGCAGCTCAATCTACCTATCCTATCTCTGACCTATTATTACACTATTTACAGGCACAGACTTACTATTTCCCTTCAGTCTTTGTTGTTTCTTTTATCTTTTGCTGTGCTCCTTTGTACTTTGATGGCTTTTCTGTGACAGTGTGTTTTGATTCCTCTGTCTTTGGTTCATCTTCTGTGGGTTTTTATTTGTGGTTATTATGAAGCTTCTACTCAGTCTATATTAAGCTGACAACTTCAACCACATGCTCTTCCTTCTACATTTACACACACACACACACACACACACACACACACACACACACACACACGGGAAAGTGTAGCCCTGACTAGCCGGGAACTCACATTTTACATTTTTATGCCATAATTTAGATAATTTCATATTGCATATTTGTTAATAAGTTATTACAACTATAGTTTTATATTTTATTTGTATGGATGTTTCACCTGTTGGTACATAAGTGACTATATGTTGATGTGGGAAGTCATATGCTGTGAATATGTTTTATTCCATTGGTTAATAAAGAAGCTGATTTGACCAGTGGCCAGGCAGAATAGAGTCAGGTGGGAAATCCAGGCAAGATACAGAGAGAGGGAGGGCGGAGTCAGAGAGACACCAGTAGCTGCCAGAGAAACAAGATGTTAGGTAACAAGCCATGAACATCGTGATAAAATAGAAACTAATAGAAATAGGTTAATTTAAATGTGAAATCTAGCTAGTAAAAAGCCTGAGCCATTAGCCAAACAATTATAGTTAAATTTAAGCCTCTGAGTGATTTTTATAAGTAGCTGCGGGACCAGGTGGGACACATAAAATTATGCATGTAGTGCCAGAGAGGCTCAGGAGATGGCTTCAGATCTCCTCAGGACTGAAGTTACAGACGCTTGTGATCCACCATGTGTGTGTTGGGAATTGAACCTAGACCCTCTGGAGAAGCATCCAGTGAGTACTCCTAACTGCTGAGCCATTTCTCCAGCTCCTGTAATTATAGTTGTGGTTTTGGACCTTTATAGTAGAGTAATAAGTAATTTATATACATCATCATTACAATATTGAAGTATTATGAATTTGGCTACACATTTGCTTTTTGAATCTATGTTTACTTTTGACTTTTATACTTTTGTATTTCCCCTGTGGAAAAAAAATGGAGTCTTTAGTTTAATGATTCCCTTGAGTATAACTTGCGAGGCATATGCAGCAACAATGAAATCTTTCGGCATTTCCCCTCTACACTTCTCTTTCAGCCCACTCTCTAAGTCTTCTGCTCAGAGATCTGTTGCATGCAACAACCCTCTTTTGTTTTGCTACTTTCACCAATTTCTGATACATGGACTAACTTTACCTCTGAGCAGCAAATTTCTGATACAGGGATTAACTTCAGTGCACTTCTGCTCAGAAGTGCACTGAAGCACATTTGGGTACTAAACCCAGCGAGCCATGGCATGTGTGAAGCTTTCAGTTTAAAGGATAAGCTGTCAGGCAGCTGGCATTCATAGTGTTGACAACTTAGCAGTTCTACGCTGCAAGGTCTGTTAGGGTTCCAGCAGCCAGGGTAGGAGTGAGGACAAGGGACACTCAAATGCATATATTTGGCTGCAAAGACCAGCTACAGGTATCTGCTTGGTGACAAGTTTGTCTGTAGGCACGTGCACAATGGCAAAATTTAGGGAGTGGGGGGGGGGCTCAGAAAAAAAGTTTGTAAAGGCAAATAATGACCCTTGGCTACAGGCTCATGGAGTCCTCTTTGTGGCAATCTTTTAATTCTGTGATAGCGAATAGTGTGAATCTGCAATAGTGAAAGCTGTTAGGAGTTTGTAGCATTTTTAGGGCTGTTAAAGTCACAGAAGAGATGGCTTCTGGGTCCTCTGTGGGGGAGACTCTAGGGATAGCTATGTCACCTGCTGCATTGCTGGTACCGGTATCACCTGCTGTCTTCTGCTTGAAGCTGTTTCCAGATGTGCATTATGCCATTCTTCCATAGTGATCCGAGGAGAATGGAACCAAATGAGTCTTTCAAATGGTGCCCGAAAAGTTTGTGGAATATGGTTGTTTACCCAGCCTTCCTTCTGAAGAGAAAAGCTCATGCGCTGTGAGCTTCTTCCCAGTAGGAGCAGTGATGGGCATGGGAGCGGTGTGATTCAGACAAAAATTTCCTATTCATTTTGTGGCATTTTACTTGGGCATTTTTCTCCATTGCATTTCTAATCTTTTAAAGTAAATACCTGAGCACTTCCGGAGATATTTTCTTTTCTGGGTAAGAGAAATGTGGGTGGAGAGATGTGGTAAAATTCTGGCGCGGGGGGGGGGGGAGGTATGGTAAAATCTGATATCCTACTCAACATGTTTCTGCCGTTGCTATTGATTAGAAGGGGTGAGTCTAAATTCCAGTCTTGGTGGTATTATCTCAGTTTGTACTGTTGACCTATGATAGCAGATAACACTGAATAGCATCTTTCAAAGATACCTGAGGGCCTCGAGGGATGACTTTGTGGTTAAGAGCACTTACTGCTCTTGTGGAGGACTTGAGTTTTATTCCTAGCACTCTTAACTGCCTCCAGTTTCAGGGATTTGACACCCTCTTCTGGCTTCCATGGGCTCTTGAATGTATATTTGTGTACATAAGCAAATGCAGGCTCACAAACACACATATAAGTAAAAATATAAAAAAATTTAAATATCTGTATCTTAAAGTTAGGAATCTATAACTTTTTTATCATTAAAGATAGTAATGTGATTGAATTAAAGATCTTGAGCTACAGTAATTCTTTAGGATCTGAGTGAACCCAGTGTAAACATAAGAATGTTTATGAAAAAAGATAAAGTTGGGTAATAGTAGGAGATGTGACAATGGGGGCCTGCAATTGAAATCATAGGAGATGAGGATATAAGCCAAGATATTCATAAGAGCTCTGGAAACTAAAAAGTACAAGGAAATAGAGTCTCACTTGAGAGTCTTCAGATAATCCGATATTAGCCTTTGAAGACTCATTGTGGATTTCAGGTCTTCAGAACTGTAGAATAATACATTTGTGTTTTAATCTCTTACGTTTATGCTGATATGTTACAGCACTAACAAATAACTGGTCCAGATACTATACTGAGCCCTTTCATATTTTATTTATTTATTTTGTGTTTTTAGACAGGGTTTCTCTGTGTAGCCTTGGATGTCCTAGAACTTTCTATGTAGCTAAGGCTGGCCTTGAACTTGGATATCCACCTGCCTCTGCCTTCTGAGTGTTGGGACTAAAAGTGTGCACCACCATAATTGGCCTATATTGAGCTCTTTTACTCTATTTCTCAAAATAACCTGGTTTGGTGATAAATTGTGTCTCTGTGGGTAGGTCACAGCATCACAGAAATCCATGTTTCTGTCAGAAGTCATTTTAGGGAGTAACATTTAGGCCTATCTACTGTATCAGGATCAGCCTCTGGAGGTCTGAAATTGGATCATCTAGAAATACTCATGGGAAATTACTAGCTAACCAGATTAATTGGGGAGGAAGTTGAGGGTCAGAGGGGCAAACGGGGAGGTGGATGAACATTACACCTTTTTTCTAGCAGCCCTCTGTGTTCATACTGAGATGGAATCGTAACCAAAGGCTTAGGTTGTATTTTGTAATGTTTTCTGAACTTTGACTTAAAAATAGGAGTTATGGTGAAACATTTTAATAAATATATTTTTGGAAAGTTGGGAGCTTTCAGATACTTGTAAACTCCAGAAACAGATGGAAAGGACATTTCCTTCTAAGTGATCTCAATCCTCCTGTCTACTTAAAAAGTGTACCAGAGCCACCATTTGTCAAAGCAGAAGGTTTGAAATATTATACAGAATGAAAGGTCCAGAGTCAGTTTCTGTTACTTTTTTATAGCTTGAAGGGTTATGCTTCTTATTTGTTTTTTGTTTTTTACATGTTTTAATTCTTTGAAAGTGTTCCTCAAACTTCATAGAGAGAAATTCTTTGTAGGAGAAGCAATTTAAGATGGCAACTCATTCATATGCAGGCCATAATGGTGTCTTGTCCTAGTTTATGATATAATAGATATAATAGTTATAGTTATAATTCTTCTCCATGATGTCTAAGTAAAATAGTAAAAGAAAAAGCTAGCTATTTCTGTCTCATTTCTTGAGCTTTCAGGTTGTTCAAATGCCTATATAAAATGAGTGATTAAATTATGTACTAATTTTAGTTTTCAGAAAGATATTAGAAGATTTATTTTTATATTTTAAGATCTTATGAAAGAGGCTTTAAGAAAATTATCATTTGGGTCTAGAAATGGAATATTTTTATCCCTTGTTACATATCAGTTAGATGAACTGCCAAGAAAGAATTTTATATCCTTTGTTTTTATCAACTGGATAAACTGTAGAAAAGTCAATAGAAGAAAAAAAGGAAAGTGAAATAAAAGCCAGATTATGAAACAATTAATACCAATTATAGCATTGATTCATGAGGAAAACTGAAGTAATTCATGAAGAAACTCCGAGTCAATAATTAAATAATATAATCTGTAAAAGTTTAAACATGGGTTTATTATTTTTACTATGGGATTTCTTCATAACTATCTAAAAACCTTGGAAGTAAAAAGCTTAGATCAAATACGAAAATAACATAATGTGAGAGGATATTTGGAAAAGAGGAAAAATTATAAAAGCTGACATATGTGTATGAGGATAACAGAGTAGGAAAGTGAAATGACACAGATGGCTGGGCAATAATTAGCACACACTGACCACCATGGATGCAACAGTCAGTGGCCCGAGAGCCCCAGTTCCTGAGGGAGTAGGAGCCACTAGGCCAGTTTCCTCTTATTATGGCTTATCAATCTTCACTGTATGAATTTGTTGGAATGAATAAGTCTTCTTCAAAGGAAACAGTAACAATGGGACAGAAGCAACCCAGTTCCTCCTACCTCATACATTCAGAAATCTCTTCTAAAGCTGAGACTGCCAAGGCAGATAGATGTTCTGCTGGTGAGGAGATTCTATAGGCTAGACCCCATGGATAGCTTGTTTTGAATGGAGACAAATGGAACTGAATGTCTTCAGAATTGGAAATACTTCACATACCCGAAGTTGCTTATTAGTCCCTGTATATGGATTTTGTGTAACATCAAGCTGAATATTTTGGGTTTAGGCTAATATCTGTAATTTATCAGCGGTATTTGTATCATACTAGGTATCTTAGTTAGAGTTACAATTGCTGTGATGAAAAGTCATGACCAAAAGCACCTTGGGGAGGTAAAGGTTTATTCACTCGTATTTACAAGTAACAGTTCATCATCAAAGGTGGTGAGGGCAAGAAACCAACCAGGGCAGGAACTTGGAGCCAACAGCTGATTCAGAAGTCATGCAGTACTGCTTACTGGCTTGCTCCTCATAGTTTGCTCAATCTGTTTTCTTCTAGCACCCAAGACCACCAGCCCAGGGATGGGACTTCCCTCCATCAATCTCCCTGAAGTCTTGCCTGTAGCCTGATCTTATGGAGGCATCTTATCAAATGAGGTTCCCTGTTCTCCAATGACTCTAGCTTGTGTCAAACTGACATGAAAGCAAACCAGGACACCAAGGGGGAAAGTTTATGACAGACACAGCCAGTCAATGACCTAAGAAAAGAAAAAGGTAGGTAACTCAAAGGTCACATAAGTGCTGAACAAAATGTTCTGAGGTTGTATTTGACTGTAAGCAAGAAAGCGTACAGCCATTCGATCCAAGTGTTTTAAATATAATGCATTTAAGTGCATATATATCATTGTAGCTAAGAGCAACTACATTTATGATAGGATTGAACTTGTAAGTCCAAATTTAGATATGCTTTAATAAATTGCCTTAAATTATTTCATAGTTTGCATCAGCATCTGTGGGGGACTGATTTTTAACAGTCATGTAAGGTAAGCCTTAAGTAACTAGGGACTACAAGGCATATTAAGTAGGTATGTCCATACACAGTCATGAGAAAATTCATAGGAAGGAAAATATCTACAAACATGAAACATAAGCAGGTTTCAAATCAATAAATATTCCTTAACAAGCAGCAGAGAATTCCTGTTGAATTAACTCAATGTAAACTTAGTTTAACTTATTAGAACTCGTTTCTCCCTTAAAATAGGAAAAGCACATCCTTAAAATTATGTTTTTTGGATATAGTCAATATGGAAATCTTTTGTGACTACGCACACGCACACACACACACACACACACACAGAGAGAGAGAGAGAGAGAGAGAGAGAGAGAGAGCACTTCAGCTAATAGATGGCATCGTCTTGTAATCCTTTACTAAAGATGAGATTTGTTACTTTTATATACCCGGAAAGAACCTTAAAAATGTCCACTCTGAGCTCTTTATTTTGTAGTTTGGATCTTGAACCCCAAAAGGTAACCTTACATAAGTAGGCATAGCAAACCACTAGGTGGCAGAAATTGTCATGCTGAAGGTAAGCAATGCTAATCACAGGGCATTCCTTTAATTAACATTTATTGAGTAGGACAGGATATTTGATTCTGTCTTGGTATTGTAAATTCAGAGAGACTCTATGGATTCTTGCAAGAGAATTAATCTAGGTGTCCAGAGCCTCTGTTTCTGTCTCGTCTCTGAAGCCTTTTGTCCAAAGGTCTGCTTACAACACAGCTCCAATGTCCACATCTACAAATAAGGACAGTTTATACAGCATGTGTCAAGCAATGTGTATCTGGTTATACAAGTTATAAAACCCATATAAGATACCATCCTCTGAGGATGTGTCTAGGCCAAAGCAGATTAAATTTGAAAGAATAATTTGGCTTTGTCAGAACCACAGGTGGGGGTGAGGGAGGGTGTGTTGGGGGGACTAATGAATTTAAATCCCTTGAGGCTAATGGACACACAGAGAGAACATATTCCAAATCTATAGTGAAACCTCCAGGTTTGTGTGTGAGAGAATATGCCTACGCTGTGTGCTGGTGAGCAAACGTCTTTTTTACAGACAATAAGTGAGATACATATTTGTAGCTCCTCCTCTATGCAGTTTGTCTATTTCCAGAAGGGTCTATAAAGTTCTTCTGCAGAGGTGGTTTACTTTCTTTTCTGAAATAGCCACCAGCCCTTTGACTTGCCGGTTCATTTCAGTGGCTATAATAAAATATTGTGACTTGGGTGGGTATGAGCAAAGACATTTATTTTTAACCTTTCTGGAGTCTGAAACGTTTGAGGTCATGGTGACTGCAGACATGTGTGTTGTGGGACTGCTGTCTGGTTCACAGATGAAGCATTCTAGTCCTGCTCTCACATGGTAGGAGGAGGGGAGGCAGCTCACTAAACTTCATTTATAAAGGCATTAACCCATTGTAAATCTCCCTTAAACTCTCCAGGTCCTAATAACAGCAGATTCGAGGTTAGGCTTCAGCATACAAATTTAGAGGGAATGTAAACATCATTGCACAGAATTTTTTTTTTTTGGAGACAGGGTTTCTCTGAATTGGAACTGCCTCTGTAGACCAGGCTGGCCTTGAACTCACAGAGGCTGGAAGAAGTTGTCAGGCTCCCTGGATCTGGAGTTGTACACGGTTGACAGATGCTATATGGGTGCTGAGAACCTGGGTCCTTTGAGAGAGCAGCCAGTAATCTTAACCACTGGTCACAGAAAATCTCAGTACTCAACCGCTGCTTATTGTTATCCTAGGTTTTGCCCTGTATGGGCTGCCACTTTCCTAGGGTATTTCTCACATTCCTTCTTTTCCTATAGGTGGGATTTTCTGATCCCTACCTATGGATTCAGCTCTATTTCAAGTTAGGCAACCAACCAATCAGTCAACCAGTCAGTCAATCAATCCTGCCCTTAAACAGGAGAAACTGATTAAAGATATACTCAGTATTGTTATTTATATCCGTGCGTGGGGCTTAGCAACCAGTCTACGTCTTGCTGAAGACTAAACTGCCAGGTTATGCCCAAATTTTTGTCTCTGAGAAGCTGGATTGGGAAAAATGAGTTTCTCTTCATTAAAATATTCTCCCCAAATTATAAATTGTCAACATTATTTAAAAAGGTTGTTATTGCTAAGACAAAGACACCTTGAGGAAATACTGGAAAACCATCCTGAGGGACCAAAAGATAGTTAAATGATGATTTATCTTTAGATACTTATTCCCCCACCAAGTTAATCTGAAGCCCCTCCCTGGGGCACTATGCTAGAATCCAGACCTCAGTTCCATGTCTCTATTGCTCTTGTGATCTTTGATATCAACTTTCTGTGTGCTTTGATCTCTAAATTATGAATGGACTCAACTTAGTTTCAATGATTGATGTGCTCTGATTATATCTTGCTGGATGTCTTTGCTATCTTCTGATTATCTAAAGTGACACATCCTGTCCATCACTGGGTTGGAAAGATAGTTTTGTCATCTCACCTATCCATTCTTATGTCATTCTCTCCCTTGTCTTAAGTTTAACCCATTCATTTCCAAGGTGTCACTCAGTGCCCACACTGCTGCCTCTGAGAGGCAATGGTGGAGTGGTGGAGATTGCTCAAGAGTTTATGGGCATTCGTAGATCGAAGATCTTTTCTATAGCATAGATAATTCTTTGGGTATCTAATAAAAGAAGACACACAAAGTAGCAGGATAGCAAAATAATAAAGTACCATTTTTCCTTCTAGTTGTTTTCTGATTTATATCAATGGACAGTTGGACTAATTTAGGAATCCTGATGCCTATCTCCCTTTAACATTTATAAACCTGTAAATTAACCTTTTCCCAAAAGGTTATATAATGTGTACTCAGTGACTTAGTTTGAGTCCCTGGGGAAGCAGGCTCTGAGACAGACTTCTCAGGAAGCTTACTTGGATGTGCTGTTTAGAACATGAGGGAGAAAGGAAAGAAACATAGACGTGGCTGCAAATTTCAAGATTCCATTTTTTCCACTGAATAGTACTCCATTGTGTAAATGTACCACCTTTTCTCGATCCACTCTTCAGTTGAGGGGCATCTAGGCTGCTTCCAGCTTCTGGCTATTACAAATAATGCTGCTATGAATACTGTGGAACAGACATCCCTGTATGAATATGCATCTTTTGGTATATGCCTAAGAGTGGAATTACTGTATCTTGTGGTAGTCTGATTGCCATTTTCCTGAGGAATCTCCATACTGATCTCCAAAGTGGCTGTATGAGTTGGCATTTCCACCAGCAGTGGAGGAATGTTCCCCTTTCTCCACATCCTCTCCAGCATAAACTGTCATTGGTGTTTTTGATTTTAGCCATTCCGACAGGAGTAAGATGGTATCTCAGAGTTGTTTTGATTTGCATTTCCCTGATAGCTAGGGATATTGAGTACTTTTTTAAGTGCCTCTCAGCCATTTTAGACTCCTTTATTGAGAATTCTCTATTTAGTTCTGTAGCCCACTTTTTAATTGGATCCTTTGGTATTTTGTAGACTTGCTTCTTGAGTTCTTTGTAAATTTTAGAGGTCAGCTCTCTGTTAGATGTAGGGTCAGTGAATATCTTTTCCCATTCTGTGGGCTGCCTTTTTGTCTTGTTGACTGTGTCATTTGCCTTATAGAAGCTTCTCAGTTTCAGGCAAATGGATGGCACTAGAAGAAACCATCCTGAGTGAGGTAACCCAGTTATAAAAAGACAAACATGGTATGTAGTCACTCATATATGGATTTTAGACATAAATCAGGGGAGTGCCAGCCTATAATCCCACTGCCAGAGAGTCTGGGAAACAGAACCTTCAACCAATGACTGATAGAAGCAGAGGCCGATACCCATAGCTAAACATTGAGCTGAACTCAAGGAACCCAGTGACAGAGAGGGAGGACTGATGAGCATAGGGGTCAAGACTGGGCTTGTTTAACCCACAAAAACAGCTGACCTGAACAAGGAGGAACTCTTGAGCCCCAGACTGATGGCTGGGAATCCAGCATGTGACTGATCCAGTCCCCCTGAATGTGGGTGTCAGTGAGGAGGTCTAGGTAATCTATGGGGCCTTGGGTAGTAGGTAAGTATTTATCCCTGGCATACAAATGGACTTTGGGTACCCATTCCACAATGAGAGATGCTCTCTCATCTTGGCCTCTTGGGGGAGGGCCTAGGCCCTGCCCTGGATGAAATGACAGGCTATGGACTCCTGCCATGGAGAACCTCATCTCCCCTGGGGAAAGGAGTGGGGATTGGAGGAGGGGGATGGAGGGTTGGTGGGAGTGGGTTGGAGGAGGTGAGGGAAAGGGAGGGGGAGCTGGGATTGACATGTGAAGCAACTTTGTTTCTAATTAAATTTAAAAATAAATAAATAAATAAATAAATAAGCATAGATGTGGGAAAGGCCTCAGCTTCTATCACAGAGAGCTGCAGAGCTGAGATAACCCTTCCAAGTTCTGAACTGAGGCAAAAGGGCCTGGTCTTTCTCCATGCACCTTGAATAGGCACTGGGTGTATTGTTCTAGCAATGTATGTGATTTCATCGAGTCGCTTTCCTCTCTCTGAAAGAGCTCATGTGTGAAGTAGTGTACATGAGACATGAAGAATGCATCTAGATGGTCACAGCACATACATACTGCCAAAATACAAACATGCACTGTATAAAAATCTACACCTGAACATTTGTGTACATATGCATATAGCATACACACAGCTAGATCAATGGTTGT